ACGGCTCCTATCTAGCTGAAGGCACGAGAGCAGCGACTGCGATGGTACGGTGGACATACTGAGGAGGCCTGAAGACCACCCAATAAGGAAGGCATTGGAACTCGAGGTAGAGGGCAAGCGACCACGAGGAGCCCCAAAGAAAAGATGGAGGGACGTCATCAAGAGGGACCTCACTGAAGTGAAAGCCACAGCAGAAGATGCAGTGGATCGGAACAAGTGGCGACGTGTAATAAGAACAGCGGACCCTGCGACGGCGCGGGACTAACGCTAGGGAGAAGAAGAGACGAAAGAACTAAATTTCAGGAATGAATAGCGTAGTGAGTACCAACAGGCTCGGGTACACGAGCTATCTTAGACACAAACTCCCCTCGCCTCAACGAAAGTTCTTCAAAATAAGGTCTCGCAATTAGCAAAGTGAGCCCATCATGTCAAGAAACTGTAACGTTCAGCATGCTTTTAATGTTAAAATGTAGGGGGCGGGGCGGCTTAGTGCGTCTAAGGACAGAAAAAATTAGCCAACAAAAACAGTTCCCGATCCCAAATACGACTCCCGTCGTCATCCTCCAAATTACCGTCCAGATAGGGCCAGCAGCAATGGTACGTGATTGTAGAGGCGCTACTAATTCCCTTTCGAGATGGAAATTGACGAGCGGCAGCTAGGCTTGATGCCAAGGCATGTTTGTTCCGATCTGGTGATCAAAGATGTCGTTGCCGGTGCGAGGGGTTTTTTTTGGGGGGGGCCCCTCTTTCAAAGGACCTTTAAACTGTCTTAAAGCTGTGCAATAGCAAGCCCCGTTTATACTTGGCGAAATTGTGCAGGTCTCACCAAGAAAAGTGTATGTTGAGAGGAAGTGGCAAAAGTGATAAATAGGCATGCCCCTCCCTCCTCTCCTTCCTTTCACCCTGGGCCAACACCGCCCAAAAGGCGTATTAAACGAATCCTCGCATTCGTATTCGGACGTATTTTTATACCCGAAAGTGATCTTGTTTTGTTGTGTTAACTGCGTTTAACACTGCAGTTCGCATCCCGAATGTTACTGAAGACTGGTGGTTTTGACTCCGCCCATGAGACGAGAGGGTGCGAAACTATTGTACAAAAAACGAGCATGCAATAAAATATATTATTCCTCAAGAGAACGCTTTGCAATTACTCAAGTGGTTATATGAGAACAAGCACGATATATGGGCGAGGTAGCAACTGGTAAACCCAGGGTCTGGCTTACAGAGGAATTTTTTCAGTCGCAGAACATTGCAAGAATTACGTTGACTGATGTGCTTCAGTGCTTCCTTTCGGCAGCGAATGCATCGTTCTGGAATAGACGCTTCGCATGCTGAAGATGACAAGCACATGACGTGACACATTGAAGGCAGTTGGCACCATGAACCCAGGACGAGTACGATTAATATACCTGGCAGGACGGAATTCCGCGCCCCTGAGCAGGCGCTGCGTAGGCCTTTCCCCCGGGAAGGTACCCCTATAAGGCTCTATCAAGTTGGAACTTACCAACACAAGATGCCCGCCACGGTCGCCCGCCCACAAGTGGACCGACCCGCACCTTATTGTGCATTTTCCAAGTGCAATATGAAGCGAAGGTAATATGAAAAGGCCGGCCGCAGTGTGCAATGGAATATAATGGGTACTATTAGGTTGTCGCATAAGTTCTTATACACGTGTTTGATCCTCTCCTATTTCGTTCGCATGGATGTTGGTATTACGTCATCACGTGTGCGTGACGTGTACATTATACTCTTTCATTACTAGCTATCACTCACCGAGCTTGCATTTGCGGTCACAACTGTCGCACAATTTGCACTGTGACAAAACGTACCTGCGCCACTGTTTGGTTTTGCTCCACGATTTCGGCTGGAATGCAAAGGAAGCCCATACCAAGCTGGTGGATACATACGGTGAGGACGTCATCTCTTACATGACATGCAAGAATTGGTTCGCCAAATTCAAGAAAGGAGACTTTTCTCTCGAAGATGCTCCGAGGTCGGGTCGGCCGATGGAGTTGGATTTGGAAGTACTACGTTCCACCGTGGAGGAGGACCCGTACCTCACCACCAGAGAAATGGCGACCATGCTTAGCTATGATCATTCGACGGTTGCACGTGGACTAGAAAAGCTCGGCAAGGTAGCAAAGCTTGGTCGATGGGTCCCACATGAACTGTCCGCTTATGACCTCTCGAGGAGGGTGACCACCTGCACTTCTCTCCAGCCCGCTTTCTAAAACCATCTTCACTTCTCCAATCAATCGATGATACACTGCAGGTGAAGAAGTGGTCCTCTACGATAACTCCGTGAGAAGCGGCGTGGGTTACAAAAGAGAACAGCCAGAATACCCTAGCCACCAAAGGCCGACCTTCACCCCAAAAAGGTTCTCCTGTCCTGTTGGTGGTCCAGAAGAGGCATGGAGTACTGGGAGCTGCTGGAGAAGGGACAGACGATTGACGCTTCCACATACGTGACCCAGCTGCGGAAATTGAAAGATCACGTCGACCGTACTCGTGGAAGGAATGCGGAAATCTACTTCCACCATGACAACGCCCCACCTCACACTGCAAAGGCGACCCAGGCCGAGCTGGAGATGTGAAGCAATGCGCATGATAGGTCGCCGCACTCCTCTCTACAGCCCTGACCTCGCTCCTTCTGACTACTGTTGTTCAGCCACCTGCAGCGCTATCTGGACGGAAAAAAGTTCGAAACAAAGGATCAGGTCAGAAAGGCGCTCGACGACTTCTTCAAGTCCCAGCCTCCGTCGTTCTGGAAGGATGGAATCGACAAGCTCCTGAGCGCTGGCGTCGAGTAGTGAATGGTGATGGTGCATACCTCTAATCTCCAGGCTGGTTCCTTTTTGAGATATTTACAAAAAAGTCGTGTATAAGAACTTATGCGACAACCTAATATGTACCGTATCTCCGCTCCAACGGTTTATTGGCAAGATGCCACGGGATACTCGTCCAAAATCGCTTCTTGAATCATTGTAAAAGAAGGCTTTTCTCCGCAGGTTTTTGATCGTTTACCTTCGTTTTTCTGCCACTTTCTCATTGTATAGCACCCTGCAATCATTTCAGAGCGAGTACCAAATTATCGTGCCATATGCCTTCCTCGGATGCAGTACGCATTATACTTTCAGAATCGTAATAGTTTAATGGATGCTATGTGGCCTGTACAACCCCTTGCGGGACCGTCCGAGGTGCAAGTGTTCTCCTCCCAGAGGACTCTGTAACAATCTACTGACTGACTCTGGTAACAATCTCCGGACTGTAGAGGGCTTGGCTGACCTCGGCGAGAACCGATCCCGATCCCTGGAACACGGCGTAGTAAGCATTCCACTTGCCAATACACCACCTCTGCCCATGACTGCCGGCCTAATATACTGATAGGGTGAAAAGGATCTTCTGACTAGCAATAGGGACAAATGGAGACATTGCTAGCGCTTTTCTGAGGAATTCTATGGCCAACAAGACGACAGGTGACGCATTTTCACCTGAAGTGGGCTAATTTCGAATCCACTTGATTTCCTACTTCTCCTTTAATCGTCACACTCCTTAGAATCGAAACGGGATTCATCGTAAAAACATCGTCACGCAGTGGCAGAGAACCTTCGAATTGGGCTCTTTCGTAAAGAATAACGCCAGAAAATACTTACAAGTCTTGCATGAAAAGTCTCTGACGATGTGGTGATGACTCGAGTAGTTTGATGTCATCAGCAGTCAGGGCAAAGTCGAATACATAAAACAAATACAAAACTCTAGTCAAAAAAAAATACCGATAAAATGATAGCCCACTTGGAAATTTTCAACAATTCGAGATGGATTGACGGACTTCGGAATGATGGCAATGTTTCGATCCATCACATAGCGGAGCAAAATCTTAAATATGGGTTTGGCTGAAGACTTGCCAAGCCCAAAGTGAAGGGATCAGGCTTACCTGCGCCGGAGTTTTTGAATATTTCTGAGCCAAACTTTTCACATTCTCGTCTTCAAGCGGATTTGGTGCAGATGCCCATACAAGCTTCCTGCAAATTATTACTGCCTTCATCGCACCAATATTTCCCTCCTTAACATTGTATTAACTTCTTCTCCTCCTATCGGGCGCATAGGTCATGGCGGCTTACATTTGGGGACATAAACTAGCCTTCTTTCTATTTTCTAGTGCTGTAATTGTTTCCAGGGCACATCATTCGTTGGGGACTTTCGTTCAGGCCCGTACACCCCCCTCTCTCACCTTACTAGGGCTCACCCTAGTTCTTCCTCTTCATCGAGCTGT